CACATAAAATCGTTTGCAGTAACGAAAATGTTATTCTGTAAAAATGTAGACAAGTTGTCGATAAACTTTCGAAAAGCTTTTAATTTTGAACATTTTGAAAACAAAATACATGCAAATTCAGAACAAAACAAGGCATGTTCAATATTTAAAAATAATTGTCGATAACTTAACTTCGAATATTTTGGTGTTGTTTATTAACATTTTTAACAATTGTTGTTAAAAACTGTTATAGAATTGAAATATTGTTTATTTTGTCGTTATAAAATTTATCGATTTGAGAATTGTTTAAATTTGATAGTGAATCGACCCACAGAGGTGTAGTACCGCCCGCATATGCCTTATATACTTTATATAACCTCTGCAAACCATAGGCTGAGGGTATATATTTATCGACAACACCATCTGATACTTTTTTGCTTGTTGGGAGGAACATATACCCACCAATGGAAACTAAAAATATTAAATTAGAGCAAATATTGTTGAAAACGTGCCTGAAAAGGTTTGTGGAGAAGTGTTCCCGAAACCCCCAAAATAACGAAATTTGGGTGGAAGTTAAAGGTGGACCGGTTTGACACCCAAAATAACAAATTTAAGGCAATTCGTTTGGAAAACGTATCCAAATTCACAGTTACATGGGGCTGACCCGAAAACCAATAGTGATAAAAAAATATCAATATTGTGCTAGGAAGACCTTCTGCCCAATGAGAGTAAATAATTTCAATATTATACCCAATGTAGTTGAAAATTTCGCACGTATCGTTAAATGGGTGTTACCCTAAAATGTGGACCTATATTGATCTGGAGATGTAACCCAATAAGAACCCAATTGACGGACAATGTAATTCAAACCGTTCCACAAAAAAGGAAATTGTTTGCCCACAATGAATCTGGAACTGGGTTTGGTAAAATAATACAAAGGCCTTAGGTTGTATAATGTTTGATTTAACATCTTCAGAAACTTTTGGGCTCATTTTCAACCTAATATTATCAATATTAATCTACTAAACACATTTAAAACATTTCTTCACCAAAAATTATCAATATGGGTCCCTCCATTTTACGGTATCTTGGTTACATTAGGATACTCATTCGGCGGAAAAAATCCCTACCAAGAATTATCAATATTGGCCCACGTTTCGGGGTAGCACCACTATAAGGCATTTTGGGGACGTCGCGGAAGTTTTTTTTATTTGATACGTTTGATTCTTCCCTCTAAAAACTATTCATACCGGTCCATTTTCATCACCAAAGTATCTGTAGAAATTTCTCAATTAGGGCCCTCATCTCTATTTTCGGTATTTTGAAGGTTCTAGCCGCATTCAATGTGATTTTGTAGGGTAGAACATATTTATGTGCACAATTTTCTACATAGGTCTATGATTGGACACACACACTGGTGGCCAAAACTAAAGCAACTGAAATTGCAAACATAATAAATGACCTGTAACTTAAAAATAAAGTTATAGTTAAAGTTTTTCGGATATAAATAGATAATTTCTTCACTTTTAAAAAACACAAAATATAAACTGGACTGGACTGGGCCGACTATATGATACCCATCACCACTTTGAGTATATTATACATATTTATCTTCACAGTTACATGTCAATATTCTCTCGGACAAACAAATCGGACGAATACAAATGTATATGTGGGAATTATATCGAAATATGAACCGATTATCCCGAAACGTACCACACAATGTCGTGCAAATCGAAGGATATATAGGGACATTGGTGCACTATTTACATAAAATCGGAAGAAAATATATATGGGATCCATATCTACATCTGAACCGATTGTCACGAATCTTAACACTCATTGTTCTAGAATTTATTTAGTACGCTATGCCAAATTTGGTGCAAATCGAAGGATATATAAGCACTTTGTTGCACCATTTACATTAAATCGGACGAAAATATATATGGGAGCTACAGTGGTGGTCACAGAATTAAAACATTTACTGTTGTAAAAATTTTTTGATCAGCCCTCGATTCGTTTGAAGTATTTTTGAAAATTTTTTAATTCAGAAAACTTCGATATACTGCACATTAGAGATTTAGTGTGAAAATAGAAAATTATTGCATGCAATTTTTCCATAAATAACGGTTTTTATGAAAATACATCGACTTTGAAGTGGCCATATAATTAAAACATTGTGTGATTTTTTACTTTACTGCATTTTTTTGAAAATATTTTTACAAAAACTCTTTAATTTAGTTGAATTATGTAAACTAAGCACTGATAGAATCATTTACAGATAAAAATTTCTGAAAAAAAATCTGTAAAATCGATCAAAATTGCCAAAAATGTGTACAGTACACCTAACATTCAGAAAACACCCTTATTATAGAAAATAAAAGTCCGAATGCACCAGAAATTGCTAGAATTAGTAAAAAACAATTAATAATTCTCAAAATAAATAAATATTTGAAATAAAAACTCAAAAAAATGGGAATTAACCTAAAGGAGCGATTCAATTTCAATAGCCTTTACTAAAGAAGACCGGAATATTTTTGCAGTATATGAGAAAATATCGATTGATATCGGTATTTATTATATCAAATCGATTGTTCGAGTAGTACAGAATATATTTTATCAAAAAATATATTAGTCACAACAGAACGAACAGATATTAACGCCTATGTTGACGAGAAAAGGTTTCTAGCACACAGCAGCATGTGCTTTTGTAAAAATATTTTCAAAAAAAATGCAGTAAAGTAAAAAATCACACAATGTTTTAATTATATGACCACTTCAAAGTCGATGTATTTTCATAAAAATCGTTATTTATGGAAAAATTGCATGTAATAATTTTCTATTTTCACACTAAATCTCTTAAGTGCAGTATATCGAAGTGTTCTGAATTAAAACATTTTCAAAAATACTTCGAACGAATCGAGGGCTGATCAAAAAATTTTTACAACAGTAAATGTTTTAATTCTGTGACCACCACTGTATATCTAAATCTGAACATATTTTTACGAAATTTTACACACATATGTCTGGGCTGAATTCGGTACGCTGTGCCAAATTTCGTCCAAATCGGAAGATTTTTAGAGACTTTGGTGCACCATTTACCTTAAATCGGACGAAAATATATGTGGGGCTATATCTAAATCTGAACCGATTATTCGCAATTGTTTACAATTTAACATGGACAGACAGACGGTCATGCATAAATCGACTTAGAAAGTGATTCTATCCGTATTCTTAAAGGGAACCATAGGTCTATCTCGTTTCCTTTTGCCTGTTACAAACATATGCACAAAGACATAATACCCTGCACCACAGTGTGGTGAAGGGTATAAAAATCTTCCGTGGAAAATTAAAGTGACCCAATTATGAATTAGGTTTGTTTCTTTCTGAATCTAGTTTGATTTTGCTATACTATGATACTACAAAGATGTTTCTATAGGGCGAAGACCTGATGATAGTGATGGTAATTACAAAACCCTAATTTTTTACTCCAGCAACCAATCATTGACATGTTTCGATGTATGTTTGAAGTTATTATCATGATGAGACACCCAGTCAGGGGTTGTATTTTCTTCAGCGAAGGGATCAATATCAGTGAAGGAATTATATCAAAAACTCGTAAATGTATCGAACTCCATAAAAAGAAAAATCCCCATGTCGTTATTGACTCCCTTCAATGCTTCTTAGTACCCTTGCAATACTGAGGCTTGAGTCTTTAATTATTAGATCTTCTCACTGTACTTGTTTTCGTGTCTAAGCTTTTAATATTTAATTTTAGTTCGTCAGAGAACATAATATTTCTACACTGAGTCGGATTCCAATTAATATGAGCTTTTGCGAAAGCCAATCTGGCTTTCCGGTTTTTTCAGAAATAATATGGTTTTTCTGCACTTGTAGACCTGCTACCATAGCTAATTCTTGAGGTAATATATCCGACGATAACTCTCTCACCAAATCCTTTAAAGTCTTAAATAGTAGTTTTTACTGCTATGACAATTTGTTGATCAGTACGAACTGATGTTATTTTGCAGCCTTCCTCCGATTTAGTTGCATACGAAGAGTAGAATTTTGCCTTTCAAACAAGATATATATTTGGTAAATTGGTTGAGGATTGGCTGAGTTACAGTGGTTGAATTGTGAAAAAAATCCGCATAAAAAGACAAAATTTATTTTTCTTCGAAAAAAAAAAGAATAATATAAATCCGTTATAAAGTAAATAAGTTATTTGCGTCTCAAATAGAAAATATATGAGACCAGGTTTTTTTTCTACATTTACCGCTATAAAACTAATTTTCGAAGTGACCCAGAAAAACCAAAGGTATTTTCGTGTTTCAGGGACTCAAACTAAACAGAATTGGTACATTAGAACCCCTGAATAATTTTCGTGTCGCACAGTGTTATTATTTATTTCATTATGAATTTGACTTTTAAGGTTTTACAACATTTTTCTCATCTTTGGAAAGAACCTCCGTATAATGTGGACACAACCCACTTTCGGTACACTGAAGTGGCTATAATTTGGCTTTTCGGATCAAAAAACCGGGTACATTTGCATCATTTTTGATTAAAAATGCTGTACAATTTTTAATAATTGAAAAAATTGGATCAAATTTTTAGCAAAATTTCTCGAGGTGATCTTATTCATAATTGATGAAAAAATATAAATATTTCCCATACCTACGTAGATCAATAACCGTGGTAATTTGAAAAATGATGAAAAAAAATATTTTTAAGCATTGAAATTATTTACTGAAATATAGTGTAGATGGTATGATATTCGAAGATATGAAAAGCCAGTTCTCAAACCATATTATATATGTGTACTAAAAAACAACAAACAACTTATTCTAACCTAAAATAAAATATATTTTAAAATACAAACGAAAAAAATTACACAAAATAAAGCAAAATCTAAACAAAAAATCATACATCAATCTATATAATATATTTTTTAATTTATATAATAATCATAATAATATAATTCATATCATATTTTTTTATATTAATATAACTTACTCGCCTTAGAAATATAGCTATCCCTTATCCTTGCCGGGGCCCACACTAACACCCAATAGATGTTCACCGGCCATTGTTAGGCCACCCGGCTGGTGGGCATAGTTACGTATCTGATGCAACGATATCAGTTGATTTGGAAATGCATTCGAGGCATTATTTTGATTTACATTTTTATTCTGAAAACTGATGGCGTCATACAAATACGGACGCTGGGCCATGGCATGATGTGACAGGGTGTTCAAGTGCGGAGGCATAGAGTTGATCGGTGTAAATGCTGAATTTGTGGTGGTTTTGGTAATGCTCGATGCATCGTAGGGTCCAACGGTGGATGGTGTCGAGACTGTGGAAGACGAAAAACGCAGAGTTATATTAAATAGAAATAAATGCAATATTATTTAGAATATTAGTATAACAGGGATATAAGGCAGCGGAACACTAAGGTGAATCTCATATCCCACAATCTATGAAAAATTAAATTTTTGTTCTAAGTATGTGTTTTTTGGGATTCTCATTGGGTAGCAACACCACCTAAAAACTATGTTAAAAAAATGGCGGCATCGGACTTCATTTCTGACACCTCCAATATAATGTTCTCTTTTATTATTTATTACACTGGAAGTCGAGAATGTATATTACAGTTTCTAGTGGGATTTCAGTTTAGAAAAATTTACCATAAAAACTGGGTGCAATTTGGTATTTCTCTTGCCCAGTAGATTACAAGATATCCTTAGAAAATATACACGAACTTTACAACAAGATTGCAAAGTCCTGACCAGGTGGACCTTTGGTTAGTAGCTCCGCAGATTATTGACCAAGAACCCATCGACCATCACACGGTTCTCAGAACAACGCATCAATATTAGAAGTGAAAAATTAACTCCTACTGGGCGCGTCCCCATGTGATGGAAAGGTCGAAGTTGTAGAAATGTGAGTGCTTGGGATCAGTCGTCGAGGGTATCGCTACAAGCATGTAGCCAACAAGCAAAAATGTTGTGAGTTTAAGAACCACATGGGAGTAGCAATCTTTATCCAACCTTCGGAGAAAGGCTGGGACTTAAACTCAAATTCCGAGTCTAAACACGAGAGCAAGACCAACATAACAGTCTTATAATTCCGGATGAGTGATGAGATGATGGAAGAAGTGAGCGAAGCTCACGACAAGAAAAAAATACTGTTGTCTTGTCTTGGACAAAGGTGAGGGAGTTTGTCAGACTTCTACCGGACGGGTGGATGATCATTCTAACGTATAGGATAGTCTGATCACCAACCTTTAGGGCTTTGTCCTTCGGACCAATACTGACTAGGGGGTGTTCCCTCAAAAAAAAAAAAAAAAAAAACTATGGAAGTTAAAAAAGGGTGACGTTGATCTGTCCACGAGTCCCGTCCCGTCGTTATCCTACGATCGTGAATAAACATCTCCTACAGATGTGAGTGTCTTGGCATCTGTAGTAGAGAGCACTCAGCAATAACAGCAAATGAGTAAAAATCTGAATCTGAGTTAAAGGACCACAGAGGATGAGTAGCCTCAACTCATCCTCCTGAGACAAGTGTTGACTCAAACATAAATTCCGAGTATGAACATAAAGACATGACAAATACCATCGCCCTATAGTGCCGAAGAAATATGGAAGCTGATAAGATGTTTAATGAAGTGGTCAAGGAAATCGCAAAACTCAATACATGAAAGAAGCAGTTATCAGAGAAAGCATGAATGAACCAAAAGAACAAAATTGAATAGGAAGTCAATGTTCAGAGGGATAAACATGACGGTCCCTCCACTTCCTCGGAAATAGCGAAGATTATTCGGTCTCCGAAAGAGCAGGCGAATTCCAAACCCACAAAAAAGAAGAAGAGTTTCCCGTCGATGGATGCTAAGATATGACATAGCATACACGAAGTCAAAGGAGATTGGCGCGGAAATTCATCGACTGAGGGTGGTGATGCCGCCTCTCATATTATCATTAAATCGTCGTAGACACCGAAAATAAATTGTTTTATCGCCTTTTTAAAATATACTAGTATTTAAGGCAATAAATAGGATTTTAATCTATAAGGTTCTGTGGGTCCTTATGGAGACCTTGGACACGACTGGGCTAACCTCAGCTGACGAGAAAACCACGTTACAGGGACATAAGAGAGATTTTTTGGAAGATGATAAGCCATCCGTAAATTCCACTCACTTCGCCTCTGAATCATTATCTAGTCCCGAAGGTTAATATATATATATTTCAAACGAAATATTAAATTCAAATATCTACTCACCAATATCTTCTCGGCCATTATCATTCATGCGATGATGACCTTGTAGATCATTATGCGGATTATTCGATTGTCCCGCATTGCCGCCCTGTTGTTGCTGCTGCTGTTGGTGATTGCCATAGTCCATGTGACCTTGTTGCTGAGAGGAAGGTTGTTGCTGCTGCTGTGGATTGGTTTGTTGTTGCGGATGGTGTTGAGATGTACCCTGCTGGCCGTTATGATGCTGCTGTTGTTGTTGCTGCTGATGTGGATGTTGGTTGTGATGTTGTTGCTGGGATTGTTGCTGCTGCTGTTGATGCATAACATCATTTAAATTAGCCGCTGAGTCGGGGCTTACTTTGGGCCAGTACGAATTATCGGTGGGTGCTATTGTTACCGGAGGCAATGTCAAATTGTTGCGATTATGCTGATTGTGCACCCCAGCAACAATACCTGTGGTTGTTGTATTGGTCGTTCCGGCACCACCTCCTCCTCCTCCACTTCCTGCTGCTCCTACACCTGTTGTAGCCGAACCATTATTAGTAGATGGATTTGAACCTACTGCAGGATTACTATTATTACCTGTTGTTGTGGTGGCGGTTGTAGATGCCGCTGTTCCACCGCCAGCTGCAGGTGTGCCACTACCACCGGCCGGATTGTTACCAGCATTTGTCACCACAATGGGCGGCCGCTTGTCGGTACGCTCGGCATGCTTTTGCATATGTTTATTCAGATATGTCTCCTGGGTATAGGATTTGCCGCAATACTGACAAATGTGGGTCTTCAAATGTTTCGACTCCTTGTGCTTGGGTATGTGGTCGAGTAATGAGGGTTCGTCGGAGAAACATTTGTAGCACGAATTACATTTGAATGGTTTATCGGTTTGGTGGCAACGTGAGTGAGACTGTAGATTCGACAGCTGCGAGAATGCCTTCTGACAGCCGGGATGTCGACACTTGTACGGTTTGTCGCCCGTGTGCGTTCGAATGTGCTGCTGCAGATGTGACAGCTGGGTGAATTTACGCTGGCAAATTTCACAGCGGTACGGTTTGATGCCCAAATGTATTCGCGTATGCTGTGACAGATATGACGAGTTGGCAAATGCTTTGGAGCACTGGGTGCATTTGTAGGGTTTCGATTCGCGCATATGCATTTGGGTGTGCAGCTGAAGATCTGCTTTGGAGGTGAAGATCTAGAAGAAAAATCGTGAGAGAAATTAGAAACAGAAATATATGGATCATTGAGGGAAATAACAAATAATTTTGGTAACATGTTTCCGTGTCAAATTGAGAGAGTAGGGAAATCATCGGAATTCCCTTCATCCTCTCTTTCTTAGTTTGAGTCTTGTTGTTTTTATACCTTAGTATCCTTAATATCCTGTAATTGCATTTGATGATGCGGCGATGACGTGGACGATGATATGCCATTGTTGCTATCATTCGTCTGCTGGTTCTGTTGCTGCTGTTGACGATTGTGATGTCGTGTCCCGCCATTGTCCACACTGTTACTGGTCACAACAATGTGTTGATTAGGATTTGGTGGGTAAATTCGTGATTTACGACCACGACCACCTGAACTCACAGTTGAACTAACCACCCCTGTAGTGGAATCGGCCAACTTCGTATCTAAACACAATGATTTCTGATGCAACAACACTGCCTCAGCCACTGAACCGTTTGGTGTTGTTGTTGTCGATACTGCACCTTGTATTTGATAATGTGACTGATGTTGTTGTTGCTGCTGCTGATTATGTTGCTGTTGTTGTTGATGCTGCTGCTGTTGTTGTTGATGCGACGCTTGTTGCGTGTAATTGAGAACAGATGTTCTCAAATCGGCGGTATTCGAAAAAACGCTTAATGGTCCTAAGGTAACACGTTCGTTTAGGGTATTTCTTAATTGATCTATGGATCGGTGTACGGCTTGTGAATACTCACCGCCCGGTGGTATTTCACCAATTAATGGAGAATTGTGATGATAGTCGAGACCACCGCCAATTGGACGGTATTCTATTAAACGTCCTTCCATTGTTTAGTTTTTTTGTTTCTGTTTTCTTTTTTTTATTTTTTTTTGTAAATTCGTTCGTTTTTAGTTGGGAAATTTTTGTTGTTATTTGTTTTTAGTTAGCACAAAGTGGGCTGTTTCCATTTTTATTTTCTTGTTGATTTTTGTATTTGCTAAAGTCTTATATAGTTTTGATTTAGGTATTATTTTTTTCGCTTAAGGAACACTAAATTGTTTTAAATTGAGATATATATTATTTTGCGGCGAAAAGGTTTTGATCTTTTCTATTTTGTGAACAGCTACAAATTTGACGATTTCTTTTATAACACACAAAGTTACAAAAATTAAATAATAGTTCAATATCCCGTACATCAGTGCGTATAATTATTGTCATCAATCAATAAATCAAATCGAATACTTCATTAGCTTCATATGACGTTTTTAAGAATGAGTGGGCCGACCGGACTAGACTTCATCAGGCTTTGGTAAAACTATTACGATGTCAAAAGTTTAGATCAAAGTGAATATTTCGGGGGAGTTATCAGAAGGTATTTGATTTATGATCACTCCATAGTTATACTGCCCAAAAGATAGCCTGAGATACAGATAGACTAACAATTGCCTAAAATGGATTTGGTCCAAAGAAGCAAGTATATAAAAGTATATAGCTAATGAGAGTATTAGCTATAAGGCTGATAGTGTAACAATTTTCAATATTGGACCGGCTACATATTTTATCAGCCGGCAAAGACTACTATAAATAAACACATATATAATTAAAGTAAATACAGAATCACTCTAATATTTAAAAAGTACACATTTGGCACTTTGCTACATACGCAATAGTAATTTTTTTATTATGTCTAATCATTCAGTCAGTGATAAGCTACTACATATATTGTTAAATATTTCACACAAAGTTCGCATTGGACTACTAGCTTCATAATTAGATCTTACGAGCGGTAAATTTATTGGGATAAAGTTACGGGTAGTACGGGATGGAATATTGAAATTTATTTGACTTAATAAATTAGAGGAATCGATTAAGCCACGTATCAATCTATATATATAAAACAGAAAAAAATTTGTTTGTTTGTTTGTGTGTATGTTCCCGAAAGACGCTAATACCGCTGAACAGATGTTAATGATATTTACACTGTATGTCATGACATGCCCTGAAAGTAACATAGGCTAGCTAAACTTCTAAAATCCTGCGTGGATGCAGAGTTATAGCGTCAATAGTAAACAAACCTCAAAATTTCGGAACATGTAATATGCGTATATCTTAAGAACGGTTACAGATACCGTCTTCAAAATTTGTGTGAATAACGTAGGTGTAAATACACACCATCCACACAAAAACGAGCTTGGTATGATCAACGGAAAATACAATTTCTGCTGCATTTTCAAAATCTGCATATTGAAAACAGAAAACATTTCGTTTGTAGACACAAAAATCGCTGGACAGATTTTACTGAGACTTTCACAGAATGCCATGACATGTCCTGGGAATAACATAGGTCATATAAACCTCTAAGATGCGGCGTGTATGCGGAGTTATAGCATCGAACGTACTCATGCCTCAGAAATTATGAAGATGTCATTTGTGTATATCTTAAGAAAGGTTACAGATACCGACTTCAAAATATGTCTGAGTAATGTGGGCGTAAGTACGCATAATCCATTTAAAAGGATCACCGGCTACCAAGGGAAAATGCAATCCTCTTTGCAATTCTATCTATACATATGTACATATATAGAAAATCGAAAGCATATTGTTTGTGGACTTAAGAACCAGTGAACAAGTTTTACAAAGAATACGTCAAACGATGAAAGTAACATAGGTTAGATAAACTCCTAAAAATTCGCGTGGATGCGGTGTAATATCATCAAAAATAAGCATACTTCTGTTAGTAACATGTAGCTACTTTGAAATTTGTTTCAGAAAGATGGCTGCAATTGCGCATCATCCGAAGATTTTGGAACGTTGAGGATATATTTTGAAATACATAAAATACAAAATATATACATACATATGTATGTGTATTGAAATACAAATAGAAATTCCCAGCAAGCATTTTCTATACAAAACATATCCAAAAAGTTACTACCAGGCGAAGAAAACACTCGTGGGCGATATCGTATATTTAACAAATAAGTTACACCGTTTGGGAAGAAATGAACCACGTACTCGTTACCTTTAAAAAGTATCTTCTTCGTCACAATTTGAAGTTAATAAAGCGACACTCCAAAATGACACTGTTTTGTTACCTTAAATATTATCGCATTGGCATACATTTTTTTAAAATCGTCGAAAACATAAAATGACAGCGATGGAAACAATTGCAATTCTTTTTCTAAGGAAGTGGGCATTATGACAGTCTTTTAACCCATAATGAGTACATGATCCCCCTAAAATACTACGAATGTATACTTCGTTTGGAGTTCCTTTTAATGTTCTGCTGTCTTTAGGTACATTGATTCCTTCTTCTCTTAACATAACCAAGAGCTTATTATGCGTTATGATTTACAACATTTTGGATTGCCCATTCCGATAATTTTTTCGAAAAAGATTAATTTTTTTTAGTTGTGCATTCAGTTTTATCTTCGCCGATTCACCTTGACTATTTTCCGGACTGTCATTCACATTAAAATCATCATGTTCAAAAACACTTATATCATTGCCTTCTGATTTGCTCAATTACCTTTTGCGGTGGATGTTGCATTCTGTAGACTTTGAGAAAAAGGTTGAAAATAATCCAGATGACTCCCTCTTGCTTCTCACTTCAATTGCCTTTTTTGATGTAGAGCTCATGTTTGCTTTGAATGATGAATGTGCCAAATGATACTTCTTTAATTGTACTTATAACCAAAGAGTTATACATCCATGACCTTAAATCTACTTTACACGTGAATTATATTTTTCCGCTCCTCTCTATATTATTTGATACAGCAATGAAAAAGGTTTCAGACCGAAGATTTTTTATAATGAAAATGTAGTATTATCCACAAATGTTAAATTATGATACTATCGAATTTTCCTCTTCCTTCACTTAACTAAGTAGTTACTACAGACGATCGAAATTGGATAACAACTAATTTGTTATTGTAAAATTACGAAGTATCACCATTTTACAAAAAATAAGTGTCGAAGTAGATAATTATTTGAAGATGGAGTTAGAAACTCACTTCCAAATGCTTGCAGGGAATAAATAATTGACATTATAATTTTTTCATTTTTGTCAGTTTGTGAAAAAATTTTATTTGAATAAAAAAAAAATATACCAAAACAATATTATTCCTATAGAAAAAATGTCAATGCCTGATATCGAATATTAGGGTTGGCCATATATATAAAAAAATTGCACGTTTGGGACTAATGGAGAATAAGTTCACTAAAAATAGTATTTGAAGTGAAGACCCTAACATACTCTAACAATTTATTAAAAAAAATTAATAAAAAATGGATTGAATATAACGTACACCCTTTATAACCCTTGATTTTAATTATAAAACGATTTATTTTCATCTGGAAAACACGTTATAAGTCGGATAGTGGGACATTAAGATGTGCAAAATAGTTATTTACCCTATTAAGTGTACTTATCTGTACTGACAATAACGACAAGTTCATTAGTTATAATAACCGTCTTCTCTTCATTTTCATGCACATACATACGTACATACTTATAACGAAATAAAATTTGTGTAAAATTTATAAAAGACATCAATTCAGTATATGAAAAACATATTTTTCTTAGTTTCAAAGCAAACAAGAATTACCACCATTACAGAAAACAGCAAAAAATTCAACAACTTCTATACAAATATCAGTTACCAATAGGAAGTCAAGAGAACGCATAGATATTTCACACATTTCTGTATTGTTAATACGATCATACAAAAGCTCAAGATTCAGGGGCATCGAAGCGCCACGGGTCCTGCTAGTTTACGTATATTAATGAATTTGATATAAATTGTAAGTAATGAAGAACTGTCGGGTTCGTCTGAAAAAATTACCATAATACATAGTTGTTGTATCGCTGTTTTTTTTTAAGTTAAAGAAAAGTCATACTTTTTGATGGCGGTTATGATTGCGATCTTGGCAATATCCGAATCTTCTTCGCTTGTAAATTAGCAAAATGGCGGACCTTAAAAAATTATTTTTTTTTTTTGCAAAATCGCATATTTCGAACAACAGTCAAGCTGAACCAGTAAGGAAAGTTCAAAAGTCAAACGAGACCGTGTATATGATGCCTTTCACCACCTTAGATACTTACAAGAGATGCTAACAGGCGTAGGCTCCTCGGTCCACCATTTACATAAAATCAGACGAAAATATATACGGATGATATATCTAAATCGATTTTTGCAACTTTAATACAAATGACACTATACTTAGCTCTACCAAATTTCGTGTAAATTGAATAAACATAGGCTCTTCGGTGCATTATTATCAAAATCAGATCAGATTTAAACAAAACTTAGCATACGTCTATCTGAGTCTAACTCCGTACAGTACGCAAGATTTTGTCTAAATTGAACAAAAATTGGGAGACTGTTGCGTCATTTACATAAAATCGGACGAAACTATATATGTGAGTTATCTAATCGATTTCAAAAAACTCCGCATTCATTAAACTGGACTTAATTGAATACGCTGTGCAAGACTTTGTCTCAATCGGACAATCTTTGGGAGTTTGGTGCACCGTTTAGATAATATCGGATGAAAACATATATGTGAGCTATATCAAAATCTGAACCGATTTCAAAAAAACTTCACAGACATCAAACCGGACTTAATTAAGTGCGCTGTGCAAATTACGTCTCAATCGGAAAAATAAATAGGATCATAAATACGACCTGTACTTTGTTCACAAGAATAAATGGACAGACGGACGAACATTCATAAATCGACTTAAAAAGTGATTCTATACATGTTCTCAAAAGGAACCATATGTCCTTCTCGTTTTCTTTTGCCTGTTACAAACACATAATATACTGTGGTGAATGGTATAAAAATG